TGAAAGGACCGTAACAAACAATAAATGTTCACAATAATTCAAAATAAATGTTCAAACGTTTATCTGCCTCCTAAAGTCGTTCTGGTAGAACTGGTTATCCAGTAAATCGCAAATGCTCTGGTCGTATTATATGAGACTGTATGAAAAGTATAAAAATTCTGTCACCATTTACTTACCGTACCCTCTTGCCATTACAAACCTGTATATTTTCATTCCTCAGAACACAAAAGATGTCCATTTCTGCTTTCCTATATGAACTGAACTTTCATTTTAGGGCAAACAATCTCATTAAATTAGTGGAATCTGTGAAATTAAACTCTGCCAGTTTGTACATAGAATAGCGTTTACAATTTTTATTTAAAAAAAAAAGGCATTAAATACAAATTATATTTGAACAAAACAATTCCTTTCTTGAAGAAAGTGATAGCTGTATAATTTCTAGTTTAGTAACATAAAAAGCTTTTTAAAGAATCAAAATGATTTGAAATGAAAAACAATAAAACACGACAACAACAACAACAACAACAAAGCAATTACCCGTGAACGGAGGGATCTTTAAAGGTGACTTGCGGGCAAGTGACCCTGGCATTGCACAGAATGAGGGTAGCAAGCTTTCTCGAAGATCAACTAGCTTGAACGTTGACCTTGATGTTTTCTGAAACGCAAGCTTGGCCTCAGCTTTTCTTACTCTTAGCGTTCACTTTACTTTAGCTCAGTTTAGCTTCGATTAGCTAAAGTTAAGCTTAGATTTAGCTTAATTCATACCATTGAAGGCCTACAAAACCTGAAGATTTAAAACTACAGTTTTACACAAACTGATTCGAGGACAGCCTCGTTGCTATGCTAACAAAAGACTCCTCATTCTCCACACTGTAGATCAACAACAAATCTAAAACAAAAGACTTTAGTGATTATATTCCCAAAAATATGCTGAGCTCTATGTTTTCACTACTGTGCAATCAATGGGTCACTGAATTGTTCTCAAAGACATAGTTTGGATCAGCTTATATTTCTTTCTTGGATAAATAATCTTTTTTAGCATAAAGTTCACATGCCTCTTTAGACATTTAGCTGGCCTGAAACAAAATATATATTGATATAAAAAAATACAAGACACTAGTACAGTTAAGGAAGGGCTAATAGCTTAGCATACTGTGTGCTCTTTTCCCCAAAATCAAGTCAGATGAGATGTAGCACCAAACATTTTGTTTGTCTTTTGTGTAGCTGTTTGGTAGGGGGTTGAGCTTTCTGTCGACGCTATGCTAATAAGCTAACGTGTGGGCTACCTCTCTGGCACCCTCCACCTTTCAAGTCTTTTCTCAGGAGGTCAGTTTTGAGACAGCGACACAAGTCCTGGTTATCATGTAGCTTTGCTACTGGGGTGAATTGCTGATATTGAGATAGACAAAGGGTGAGACGACCCACACCATTAAGCTAAACATTTTTGCATGAGTTTAGTTAAGGCATTGATTCAAAAATACTGCCATAGCTTCACCGATTTCGCAGCGGTAATTCAGGGCACTGTAGCATAATGGTTACATTCAAACCCATATATAAAAAAACGACGTCACGCAAGATACATGCTTTCAGCAAAGGCCTTGAAATGTGAAGGACAATGATAGTCAGCGTTTGGAGTACAAATCAAATATTCAAAGTGCTTCATGATGTTTTGAAAGTGAGATAATGCCCTTGTGGATATATTTTAGGGGCATATCATTGCTGTTCTGACAACAATCGAACCACTCTGCATCAGATAAGTCGTCTAAGTATGTCCGGCTGTAGAATAGTTTGCAATTGGTCAAATTGTTTTAAATGGATGATCAAACTGTTGGCCTGGAGTATGTGTTCAAGAGGGGCCAAAGTGCATGAAGTGCTTGTGCTTCAGATGGAGTCTATGGCTAGAGCCGCCTAGTGCCACTGTTTAAACGACCCAACACCAGGAGGGCAGAAACAAGAATTGGGACTAAGAGAGAGCCGCTGATAGTCATGGCAGATAGTCAACACACGCTTGTAGCAGAAGAGAGAGGCTACCTATGCGCACAGAACAAGTACACAATGTCCCTCACATACACAAGAGTACATATGCTCAGACTTAGCATGTCGTTACTGAAATTCGCTCGTACTTTTGACTATGTTCACACGTCCCCCTTAAGATAGAGTCCAAAAAACAGAAGACTTGACACTCTCTCTGTCTCCTCCTCTTATTCTCTTCGTTCTCCTGAAGTGTAAAGTGAGTTGCTGGTCACGTGAGTCCATGCCTCAGCATACAAGTGGGAGGTCAGCTTTGGGACAGCACTTTTGAATTTGTATTCATGTAGTTCTTCAGGGGAGATATCCCTCTTTGTCTCCCTGTTTCCACCACTCTGCCTCTCCTTCCCCTTCACTTTGTCTCCATGTTATAGCAGTGGACCTTCTCCTTTCCATCGTAGCCGGGTAAAGGCTGTCCGTACTTGTCCACGCACCAGCAGTGACCTCGTTTGCGGCCTTTGGATGGACTGCACTGTGGGGAGAGTGGGTGAGACAGGAAAAGAAATGCATAACCATATGATATTTGGACGAGTATATGCAAAACAGACAGCATGCTCCAAATGGAAGAGACAGTGGCATAAACACACATTTCTCATTGCATCGCACTTAGGTGAGAGAGAGTAACACAAATACTAGAGCCAGAGAGAGAAAGAGGAAAAGAGACTGGGGGAAAGAACACCAGAGGGTATTCAAGGGGAAGTACACTGCCCATCCAAAAAATCGTCCTCCGGGATATAACTAAGCAAATGGGTAAGAGCCTCCCATTGGGTAATTGCGGCATGAGTGATGTTGGTGATGTTTCAGCTGCTAACAACAACAAGGTGTTTAACCCTAAATATTGCATAGAATAGCTCCTCGTGTCCTAAACCAGGGCTGTCAAACTTAACCCTGCTTCAACACACTTACCTGTAGGTTTCAAACAAACCTGAAGGATTCAACTAATTTGATTGGGTGTGTTTAACTAGGGTTGGAACTGTACTGTGCAGAGCTGCGGCCCTCCAGGAACTGAGTTTGACAGCTGTGTCTTAAACAATCAGGTCGGAATGCATATCCTGTGGTCATGGAAAATACATCTATCTGTAAAAATGTAAAAGATAATCTATCTGTTTCAGAAATGGCAAACTTATGACATGCATCAAGCAGGGAAAATGTTTAGGAAGAATCTACTGAATCTACTAAAATTGGGTTGATTGTCCAATGTATTATTAAAAAATGGAAAATGTGGTCGGGACAAAATCTCGAAAGATGGAGATTGGCGATCACTTAAAAAAACAACAACAGTAAAACTTACTTTAATAGTGAACGTAAGAAGATATGTACCCAAAGGGTTACCAAAGATATTGGAACTAAACAGCTGTTTGGCCCTAAGAAAGCAACTTATCAGCTAAGCTAATCTGGGAAAAAGCTGAAATTTTCTAGGAAAGATAAAGGTTTGACTCTGGAGAAGGTCATGCGATTTGATGAGTCTAGATTCTACCCTGCTTAGTGATGGACAAATCAAGGTTGATACTGTAAGCAATGAAGATGAAGTATCATCATCTTGACCAGTGCCTAAAATTCAATTCTGAGGGGGCAGTGCTGTGGTCTGGGGATGCTGCAGTTGTCAGGTCTGGTAGAGCAACGTTATGTGCTTAAAGAATGAACACAGTGGAGTACCCGAGTATATGACAATGTTATTACATCAACAAAAAAAATGTATTCCCTTATGGCGTGGGCCTATTTCAAGATCACAATACTAGAATTCATCTTGCTCAAATTGTGAAAGAGTAGTTCAGAAGCATGAGAAATCATTTTACAAATGGATTTGCCACCACAGAGTCTAGAACTTAACACTATTGAGAATCTTTGGAATGTGCTGGAGAAGACTTTGCATAGCAGTTCGACTTTCCCATCATGGAATGAGGGGGGCTAGTGTATGTGAGAATTGAGGGACAGCTAGTGAAATCTTTTGAAATATTTTCATATTTTGTACAAACAAATTCTTTGTATTTTTTTTTTCCACAAGGCCAAAAAAAATTACTGGAAGTACCTTTGATGGGACTCACTCACAATGATACTAATGACCACAGAATTGAATATGCATTTTCAGGCCCAGAATAGCTGGCCTACATTACACCATTTTGCCCAAACCTGACTCCCATTCAGGTCAGAGCTCCAATGTAATTTCTCCAGTTCTATGTGCACCACTTCAAGGAAGATTCGTATCCAGTCAGCTTGGAGCCCAGGCACATTGCTTTACAAGCACACAACAAGGATGAATTAGAGTGAGGTTTGCTTTCACAGCACTTACTAGAAGGCACATTATGATTTTGACAAATACTATGCAATCCTGGATTATCACCTATTTTGATCCTGGAACATAATTTTTGTTAAAGAATGTATTCCATACCTATTCCAAACCCCTAACCCAACAATAACTGTGAATTATTTCCAAAATCAGTGGACAAAATAGTTGGATAACACTTATGTAGAACTAGATAAACCTAAACTTAACATAAACGGTAAACATATTCCTTAAATCTGATTGGCTGATTGGACTGGAATGTTCCTACTTGCTGTCCTACTTGGTGAAATCAGGTTAGGATACTAGCAGACCTTAGTTTCACTCATACCCAAAACCTCACACCCAGCAGGTGCATGGTTCCAGTGTATCTCCTCCATTTCTACTCATACTACTCCACGCGAGGTTCAGACAAGCATCTCTGGTATAGGATGCACAAACAAGGCTTATGTTTCTAGAGTGGTTCTTGAGGTCCAGAAAGAGAAAGTTTGTCTCAGCAAGTCTACTACACAAGTCAACTAGCTAGCCTCAGTTGCACTCACCCCCCTCTGCCCCCCACCCAATTAGGAAAATACACAACAGATAACATTCTATGTTTTGATCAGAATTGAAGCAGGATTTTGAGCAACACTGTTAGCTACTTATAAATACTTTATAAAAACTTTAGAGATTTTTGCTACCCATAATGACCATCTCTATATAGCTTATGAATTGGACAGTCCTCAAGCAGGCTACATGATTGACCACAGCTGGTCCCACCTTAGCTAACGCATCATTCACCAATCGTAGGATTCCTAACTCACAATAAATAAGCACAGTTTCTCACCTCAGTCATCTTTGTCTTCAAGAATCCCCCCTTCCAGCCCTATTCCTCCTCCCTTTTTCCTTGATAGGGTGGCACGGCGGCCCAGTGGTTAGCACTTACCTCACAGCAAGAATGTCACAGTTCCAAATCTCTAACAAGCCAGTCTATTTTTCTGTGTGGAGTTTATATGTTCTCCCCGTGCTTGCGTGGATTTCCCCTGGGTTTTTTTGGTTTCCTCCCACAGTCCAAAAGCTTGCAACATGGGTGAATTGACCAAACCAAATTAGCACCATAGATGAGCTCTTATTCAGCAGTATAACTCTCCTTAGCAATCCTTAATTTTTCATTAGCCATGAATAGGCAGGGGAGTTCTACATGAGCTCAAACTCCCCTCTCGCCCCGCAAATGGGAGGGATCCCCAGGCTCGAGGATGTTATGAGTTCTTTATAATCAATAATAAGCTAAGTGAAACTCTTGAAATGCTAAGAAAACTTAATTATCTAAAAATAACCAACACCTTTAACCTTAAATATCAAAACATGCTAATAATAAGCGAGTATAGTTATGCATCTGCTTCTCTCATGCATTCTCTCTTTCAGCAGCAATTTGAAGACATGTGCAAGTCAAACATTGCATTTAAGTTGGAAGAATGCATGACTGCCATTCAAAGTAAGTGTGTAAGAAAAATTAATTTAAAAAACTGTCTTCTGTGGTTCAGAAGAAAGTATGCCTCGTTTATGCCCTGCCTTATAATATGAATAAGATACAATTCCATCTGTTAAATTTAGCTTGATCTCATCATTAGGTATCTTATAGTACCAAAAGTGATTTTGATGGACCATAACTGGCATTCAAATCTTTCTCCATTTTGTTAGTAACACCCATCTTCTAACGATCCAATCAGTTCCCAATGGATGAAATCAAGTACCCCCGTACATTTTTTAACTCAATCAGATGTACATCAAGATAGGAGAGGAACAATATTTACTTCTGTTTGATTCTGACTGGAGTGGCACGGTGGGTAGCACAGTCGCCTTAAAGCTAGAAGGTCTCTATTTTGAGCCTCGGCACAGTCAGTTTACATTTCTGTGTTGAGTTTGCATATTCTCCCCGTGTTGGCATGGGTTTCCTCCGGGTGCTCCCGTTTCCCCCACAGTCTAAAGACACATGCTATAGGTGAATTGAGTAAGGTAAATTGTCCGTAGTGTATGTGTGTGAATGAGAGTGAATTGGTGTTTCCCAGTAATGGGTTGCAGCTGGAAGGGCATTCTGCTGTGGTGACCCTTGATTAAAAAAGGGACTAAGCTGAATAAAAAAATTAATGAATGAATGATTCTGACTTTAAAATGATCAGTCACCTACTAAGCCGAACTATTTATAAATTTTGACAACTTGTCAATTTACAAACATATACATATGACCCAGTTTTCCATTGAACAGAGGTTTAAATGTCCGAATGAATTGTGATTTTGTGTTTATAAAAACAGTTGAAAGTACGAAGGTGAATTTAACCAAGCTAAAATATTTGCCGAGAACCGTTAAAGAGCTGCTAGGACTATTTTAGGAAACTGGCATACACTCAAAGTCATCTGGAGCTTATTATACTACACAGGCAAAACAAACACACACACATACAAGCATGCACACCCACATACGTATCCTCAGGTGGTCCATCTAATAGTCAAAATCCATTCTTTTAGACATGAAGGAAAATGTGGAGGTAAGAAAGAAGGAAAGAAAGCTATGGCAAGAGATAAACAGACATTGTGCAAGGAAAAAGTGGATGAGTCAGAGAAAGAGAGAGGGAGAGATCAAAAGCAGTTTTATTGAAAGAGTACCAAATTAAAATACCTCAAGCAGAACAAGAGCAGTCTGGGAATGAAACCTGGCCTCCACAAGGGGCTGCTTCAAATGTTATACTCATCCTTTCAATTTCAGTTGTCTCTTCACCCACTTTTGCTCTAAACTAAAAACATTTGCCTAAACAAGTAACATATCCTTTTCCAAATACTTTGATCAGTTGGTTATGAGTTTACATCTGCGTAAGAATAAAAGAAAAACAATGAGTGTACAGGAAACCAGTGTTTAATTAAATGATAAAGTCCCGGAACAAGGACTGGTGATGGATAATTGAGGACGCGTGGAATGTAAGTTAAAAAGATGTTTTAGTCATGGCCACACTTTATTTTGATGGTCCGTTTGTTGAATTTAAGTTACATTGCAACTAATTCTCATTAGATTATACAGTTAGATTAGACTGTTAGGTTGGTTTATGGTCAGTATAAGTTGACATGTACTTGCAAAGTATCTTATAGTCAGTTAAATGTCTGTTGAAGAAGCAGTATCAACAGATATTAGGCAGACAGTCTACTAATACTCAAATGGA